CCCCAAAACCCCAAAACCCCAAAACCCCTAATCCGACAAGCAAATGGAATTAAATAAATTTTATTTAAAACTAAAATAATGCCAAAATTATTTCGGAATAAAGGTCAGTATTCCTTTACAACAAAGACAAAGCAGAATGGAAGCACAGAATATGAAGTTCTCAGTACAGAAAAATACAATTTATCAAGTCCTTCTCCAGGAGATATTGATGAGGATGAAAATGATAACACAATACCTGCTAGTGACAATCTCAGCCCAACCAGATGGCTATCTAAAAATATTTTTGAAACTAGCATGAATGAAGATAACTGCACTTATAAATCAAGCAAAACCAAAATAGGAAATCAAGCCTCTCGATATAACAAAGACACTTCAGAGTTAAATCCATATAATGGCCAGAAACATCACTGAAGAGCCAAAACAAGGGATAAAAGTTTGATAGATGAAAATTCAACGGACCAAAAACTGACAAATAGTTGCATAAAGAGACAAATGGCTAACTCCTTCGTCTCTTCCAGCTCCAAGTCAAAACAATCTCGGATTAAATAGAAGAAACCCTACTTCAAAATGTACCTTGCCCTACTAACCTCTAGACCGTAAGAACAAGCAATTATGCAACAGTCACATTCAGAATCCCCACTCATACCTAAGTTCTAAACGTACAGACTTTCCCCCTCACTTAGATTTGCCTTCAAACCTATCTCCATCCAAATCCTCCAAAGTTCTACACAAGGATTGCACTAAACCGACCAGAGACGGGACTCCGAACACCACCAATATGAATCAGCTCAAGTTGAAGGCCAGAAAAACCATTAATCGCCTGACTAGCTCAGAACGATCTGAGCCTTCCATGCTTCACACAAGAATAGGTCATGAGAGTTTAAAGGACGATGCTGAGATAGCTGATGAAACAGGCATTAATTTTAGCAAGAACTTCATGGATGACTACTATGCTTCAAACGGATATTTTACTTACTCAAATAATAGGAAGGAAGTCAGGGAAAAGGATCATTACCAAGACAGGCTTCAGACTTTTGTTGATGAGAAATTACTAGAGGTCGCAAGTCAGATATCGGTTAAAAAGAAACAAGAGCAGCTCAAGAAGGATAATTTGAGTACCCTTGAGGATCTTAGATGTAACATCGGTAAGAAAAGCAAATTTAAGTAGTCTAGAATACCTTCATGTTGAAAGAGAAAACATGCTTAATGCTCATAAGCAGCAAGACAAGAACCTTGCTATCCAAACTCACCAAGTTGAGGACCTAATGAAGAAGGTAAATGAGATTAAGAAAGCTCATGCACGGATTGAGAATACTTGGAAACTAGAGGCTAAATCTCTCTACAAAAATCTTCAGGATTCAACAGATTCTTATAATAAAGCAGAGGAAGAATACCAACAGAACAGGCAGAATATCAGGATGGAAATGCATGATGACAATAACTTAATACACGAGCTTAAAACAAGTCTCGAAGAAGGAGATACTATCTTAGCCTCACTTAAGGATAAGGCTAAATATAGTAATATAATGGAGCAGGAAAGAAGTAGAATGATTAATGACAGAGCCTTGCTCTTAAAAGATCTCTGCACTCATGAAAAATTGAAGTATAAGAAGAAATTAAACACTCTTCCTGCTTTCATAGAAATCCCTGCTGATAAGGGAAAACCTATGGAATCTGTGACCAGTAAAATTAGACATAAGTTGTTTACAAGCAATGGGAAAATGCGTAAGAAGAGTACGGATCATTACACAAAAAGACATCACCATGTAAAACAACAAATGAGGCTCTCTGTAGAGAAGAAGAAACGGATGCACTCATTGAGAAGGCCAAGCATGAGTAAAGTCAATGCAAGACTGCACAGTTCATTCATAGGCAAAGATGAGAAAATTTTAGAATAACTTTCAGTATTTTGGCTAAATTTGGGGTTTTGGGGTTTTGGGGTTTTGGGGTTTTGGGG